TTTAGCAAATAATTCCTCGGGTTTGCCACCTATGCATGAAATTCAGCACGCTAATAATTTGATTCCCGACTCTATTATCTCGAATCATCTCATTTATCGTATGTCTCCGAAAGGGTATGAGGAGTTTAAATGCCAAGTCAAAGACTTAATTAGCAAAGGATGGGTTCGACCAGGATCCGGCCCTTATGCCTTCCGGCTTTTTTGGTGACAAAAAAGGTGGCACACGGCAATGTTTATAGATAGTCGATCATTGAACAAAATAACCATCAAATGTAGAATTTTGATTCCTCAACTCGACTTATTTGATTAATTAAAAGGGGCCACTATTTTTTCAAGACCTATTTGATTAATTAAAAGGGGCCACTATTTTTTCAAAAATTAATTTAAGCAAATATCACCAAATTCGAATGCTTGTCAGAGATGGGTGAAAAAAAAACGTTCAAAACTCAGACGGGTTATATGAACGGGCCGTGATGTTGTTTAGACTCTCCAAAGCTCAAAGCACTTTCATGCACTTGATGAACCAAGTGTTTCGACCTTTTTTGGAAAAGTTTATAGTGATGTATTTCGATGATATTTTACTATATAACCAAATTGTGATTGAACATTTACAACGTGTACAAAGTACATTAAAATCATTTGAGATCAGCAGTTATTTCCCAAAATGGCTAAATGTGATTTCCTAGTATCCAAAATTAATATCTTGAAATTTGTAATCTCTGAAACTAGAATAAAAATGGATCTGACAAAATCTGGGCTATTAAAAGATTGGCCATAACCTTCATCTTTCACTGAGGTTCGACAGCTTCATGGGTTGGCATCATTTTATTGCAGATGCATCAAAACCTTCAGCTTTGTAACCTTACCGCTTACAAATCTACCCAAATCAAATCCATTTTGTCGAACAGAGCAAACCCAAGCTAGTTTCGATCAATTAAAACTATTAATTACCACTGCTCTAGTCTGGCGCTTCCTGATTCCACTAATTTATGTGAAGTGAAATGTGACGCTTCTAGTGTCGGCATCGGGTCGGTCCTTAGCCAAAAGGGATATCTGATTGTTTTCATTAGTGAAAAGCTCAACGAGATTAGGAGATATTCCACCTACAACAAAAAATGTTATGTTATAGTGAGGGCTCTTCAACATTGGAATCACTATTTATTAGCCAATGAATTTGTTCTTTTTACACATCATGAAGCACTAAAATATTTACATACTCAAACAAATTAAAACGGAGGCATGTACCATGGGTTGAATAATTTTCCTCATTCAATTTCATCTTGAAACACAAATCCGAAAATTCCAATCAAGTTTGGATGCCTTCAGTTGGAGGAATTTGGTGTTGCCAACTTTGCAAATAAAGGTGATCAGCTTTGAAGTCTTATGTGAATTATATAGCACAGACATCAATTTCCAAGAAATATGTCAAAAATGTTGCTCATAAGCTTTGTGGATGTTAAGGATGGTTTCATATTTAATAGCCTATGCATTCCCCGATGTTCCACTAGAAAGTCCATCTTATCAAAAATATCATGATGGAGGATTAGCGAGACACTTCGGTTGAGACAAGACTTCAGCCATTTTACAAGAAAAATTATATTGGCCATCAGCCCTCAAGGACGTAGATTGCTACGTCAAATGATGTCAAATTTGTCGGGCTGCTAAAACTCGAACACAAAATACAGAGTTGTGCTCCCACTTCATATATCCGAGAAACCATACAGTGACGTGTCTGCATTTCATCATCGGATTACCACATACACAGCAGAACAAAGACTTTATTATGGTGGTGGTTGATGAGCTTTCAAAAATGAACCATTTTATAACTTGTAAAAAGAATTGGATGCCTCATATATAGCTAATCTATACTTCAATGTGGAGGTTTAACTTGATGGAAATCCCCAAGAAACTATAGACTAATGTATGTCGAGATTTTGCCGTACACAACAAAGACTTGGCGGTGGTTGATCAACAGTCAAAAAAGACCCATTTTATACTTGTAAAAAGACCTTGGATGCCTCACGTATAGCTAATATATACTTCCATGGGGGGGTTCGACTTCATGAAATTCCTCGCACTATTACGTCTAATCAGAATGTTAAATTTGTATGTCATTTCTGGAAAACTCTATGGAGAAGATTAAGAACTAAACTACAATATACTCAGTCGCTCATCCCCAAATCGATAGTCAAACAGAAGCTATCATTTATTGCGTTGTTAAATATCTGACAATGGGATCTCTTACTAACTCAAGATGAGTTTGCATATAATTGATTCAGTAGTCAAACTTCAAAATATAGTCCGTTCGAAGTAATCCATGGTCAAAACCCCATTTCGCCGCTTGAACTTATTCATGTCTTACCTATCACTGAATCCAGTCCTGACGTGGAGTCATGGATGCAAGAAATACATAAATTGAATGAATTGGTCTGAGAAAATATCCACAACCTGAATGAGAAATATTGGCGCCAAACCAACAAGTATAGAAAGTTTGTCCCCTTTAATGATTTCCACCAAGAGCTCATGGAAAACTCAAAGCCAAGGCGGACTAACATTTTCAAATTATTAAGTGTATCAATGATAATGCTTACCGAATCGATCTTCCAGGAGATTATCATGTGTCCGTTACGTTCAATGTTGTTGATTTATCTCCTCAATACGATATTGATGTAGATGTTGGACCTCAAGAAGAATTTTCACCAACACCCGGAAAATTACGTATGAGTTATTCCTTTATTTGATTTTTAATTTTCTTTTCTTATGTTTTGTCTTTTATGTTTGAAGGGGTGCACTATTGTAATTGTTATTTTTTTTTTGGTTGTGCAAGGATATGGGTATAGCTAGCCTATTCAAGAAAACTGATTGTTTGGTTTAGGCATTCCTGTCTTCCCTACAAGTCCTTACCGGGTGTTAGGCATAAGTCTTGTATCCTGAGTTTTGGGCGTCTCAGTTGGTGCTTGGCTATTGTACTTTATTTTTTGCTTTGAATTCTTAAGTTTATCATTCCAGTTGACTTTATCTTCTTTGTGGTTGTTTCTAGATTGTATTAATCTATCTCTTTTCTCTATTGAGGTATCACCGGTTGATCATCATCGACAACCACCTATTATCGCCTTCGACCGCCCACCATCACCATCGCCTCCGACTACCTGCCTCTGGCAAGCCATAGCCGCCAGAATCAACTGTTTGCCACCCCCAACCAGCTATAGCCACAACCACTCATGGAGATCACTGTCGCCATAGCCACCATCACCATCATCATCACCGGCCATCGGCTGCCACTACAATGCTTTTCTTTGAAATCCTTTGTTTCAAACTCTTTGTTTCAAACTAAACATAAAAAATAATCTCAAACACTTAATCTAAACATTTATTTTTATTCAAATGCACCATCGCCGTCGCCATAGCCGCCACCTTTTCTCTTGCATCACCACCCATTCTAATTAATAAAAAGAATGACAAATTCAAATAACATTATAGTTGCACAATAAAATTAATAAATTAAAAGCTCCAAACTAAAATTAAAAAGAAACAAAATAAGTTCCAAAAAAAAGGGATGCATCCTCCATGGTCACAAAATAATAAATAAAAAACAAAACTAAATAAATAAAAGGCTCTAAGGTTAATTACATGCATAACATACTGTTTTTATGTATTTAGTATTTACATATCTAATACGTAAACAATCATATTTGTATGCACAACAAGAATCCTCTCCATTTTATTAACATAACCTAAAACAAGCATACAAACTCAAGCAACACCACAAATAAAATTTGCGTTTATTTTAATATTGTTTTTTCGCCGCTCATTATTCCAACTTTGTAAGTTACAAATTTACAATTTTACTTTCATGCATGTGAAATCACCTCTGTTTCCCAACTGGGCAACTCTGATGCTAATTGAGTGTCATGTATCCTATAATGGACGCTTAAGTTGTAAAACTTAGTGGGTTTTACGATTCCAAAATTTCTGAAAAGTGAAAACGACATGTATACTATAAAGAGGAAGATTTACAATTTTACATATATACCGCTCAATTCTTATGGACATTCATCTCTCGCACCTATAGTTCAAAGTATAAATATTAGGAAAAACCAAAAAAACAAAATTATTTATCAATTACCACTTGATAATGATCGACAGAGGAAGCAAGAAGCTCAGATTGACACTTGAAGCAGGGATGATGCTTGGATCGCATTCCAAAATGAAACTAGAAAATGCTCATTGACACTTGAAGTAGGGACGACACTCGGGTCGACACTCGAAGTAGGTTTGACACTTGATTACGAAAGCTATGCTCGAGATGACACTCCATATCGAAGCTAGAGACACTCAACAACGCTGGAAGCAAGGCCGTCATCAACACTTGAAGGCTCGCCGACACTTGGGTGGACGCTCAAAGTTGATGTTGCGTTCGAGACTATGAAACCTAAAGACTGGTTGTCGATCACAGGTACTTTAAGTAATCTATGCTTGAAAAGTGCCACAAATGCCCCAAGGAAAAACACCTCAAGGAATACGCCTCAAATAAAGAAGGTGTAAGCCTCACCCGAAAGATCGAGGCTTAAGCCTCGTAGGAATACGCCTCAAATAAAGGAGTAAGCCTCACCCGAAAGATCGAGGCTTAAGCCTCGATGCTACTCTTTTGCGCCTAGAATCGAGTTGCGCCTCAAGGCGGACGCCTCGAGCAATTTTCTAGCTGTTGATAATTAATGATTGTTACAATAACACTTCAAGTTAAACTCCTACAAATTGATGGAAAAAAAGTGCAATTCTAGAATCAAACTAATTAAAAAAATGACTTTTCATCACGTTGCAGACAAATAAACTTACACTCCTGATGGCCATTATTAAAGGAGTATAATGTGAATGAAGTCAGTGATAATTCATTAATGATCACGGACAAGAAGAATGAATTTTGCAGTATAACATTTAATCTACAAATAAAAAAGATGCATATGATCATAATTAAGACAGAAAAGAACCATTCTGCTCACCATTACAGATGATAGAGAGTGACCAATGTTGGAAAACACTGTACCAATTGAAAGTGCGAGCAGAATGTACAGTAGAAGCCTAATCCAGAAATACTTCCGCTCCCTGGACATAGTTAACAAAGTCCTCCATGTTAACACAGTTATTCGCATCACATCACGTGGCCTTCCCTTACTTTTTAGACGATGGCCTTCCTGCAGAATATGAACCTAGGATAAGTTAAAAGTATGATATGCTGTAGCGCACCTTGTATATATAGTGTATTTATGTAGCATAAATCACAAATGCATAAAGATTATGCATATTTGTATGCAAAACTATATTTATTTGTTATGTATGTTATACCCTAATAATACACGTTATAAAAACTAATTAGGAGCAAGCTTTAGAAGAAGATCCCAATGCTGAATTGATATAAATTGGTGCAAGCCAGACCACAGCCTTGCCTTATAAGCATTTCTTCTCTTACCCAACAGCTCTATTGCTTTTTTTAGCCAACATATATCAGTCAATTTTGATCAACATTTCCCTTCAAAAACTCCTGTTAAAGATTGCAATCAATATTGGCCATCTTACAAACAATAATCTTCTCCAAACTCTTCAGCTTGGTTTAGCAAACATGTCACCCATTTCGAATTAATTGCTTTTGAATTCATAATTCCAAATTCTATAACCCAATCACCCAACATAATACTTATGCATATCTGCAACAAGGCAATAGAAGCACAAAAAAAATATAATTTAACCTTCTCTGTAAGTCTTAGTATCATGGATTCAACAGCAGCTGAGTCAGCTGATGATTTATATGTTGCTTCGAGTGTTCGGATTGCTACAGCCGTATCCATGTTAACAGATGAGAAATCCCCGTTGTCATCCTGTTAAATAGTGTTTGAGATCCTGTCACATAAATGTTACCAAATCTTTCCTATAAAAAACTTAACCAAAGAACAAGAATGACACTTCGCTTGCCAATTAAAAAAAAACCAAAATAGAGGGAAGACAACAATAAATACCTGAAAATTTTTACACATGGCTATGATCCTGTCAAATTCTGTATTAATTGCACGCAAAAAGTGATCCGAAGGGCTTTGCATGATTGGGCAAGGAAATCCAGCATTGGAGAAATGCTGCATCAAAAATTTCAAGTTATGCTCCATTCTAGCAAAGTTAGAGCATTAAAAAGAAGAAAGATCTACTTACATACCACTCAATTCCAATGTGTAAAGATATCTAACACCTAAACTTCAATTTTTAAATGCATACCACCTTTAGAAGGTGTATTTCACTTCTTAAAAGTTAAAATGATGATATTATTTATGTGATATTAAAAATTTGGGTAGTGTACATGTACAAAGTAACAATTAGGTGTCAGATATGTAATTACATAGGAAGTGGGTGGAAATGTAAATGTCCCTAAAAAGAAACCTATTCAATATTTGAAAGAAAAGATGAAATGCAAGTGTCAGTGAAAGATTCCCAGTATGTGCAAAACTAACATCAACTGGCCGATAGATAAAATAATAGTAAATACGGTGGAAAAGAAATCTTACAGAATCTTTTGAGAATCTCAAAGTTCTCAATGTTGAGTTTTGTATATAATTTATGGTCATGCTTGTAAATAGAGGAAGTCTAGGGTTTTATTTGTAAAAAAGTTGCAAGGCTAAGTTGAATTTGTGAAGAGAGGAGCATAATTTTATCAATAGAAGACGAGGTATTTAAACCCAATTACAATTGCCACAATAAAAGAAGAAATAAAAACAGAATAAAACAAAAAGAAAATATATAATCAAGGAATAATGGCTAATAAAAAGTAATAATAAGTAATAATAGCTATGGATTTTCATTATAAATCTAATACCCCCTCAAGTTGAACCTTAGATGTCAGTCATGTTCAACTTGAATTTGAAGTCATCGAATAAAGGACGAAGAAGATTCTTGGTGAAGATATCCGCTAGGTGACCATTAGAGAACACAAAAGGATTAAAAATTTACCCAGACTCAATCTTGTCTTTAATGAAGTGTCTGTCAATCTACACATGTTCGGTACAATCAAGCTAAACCGGATTAAAAGCAACGTTGATGACGGTCTTATTATTACAAAATACCCGCTAGGTGACCATTAGAGAACACAAAAGGAGTAAAAATTTACCCGGACTCAATCTTGTCTTTAATGAAGTCTCTCTGTCAATCTGCACATATTTGGTACAATCAAGCTGAACCGGATTATAAGCAACGTTGATGACGGTCTTATTATTACAAAATAGCTGCAGTGAGACGGAGGTTGGCATACAAAGTTCACGGTGATGCGTAACTAAAGAGCTTCACAGATCTCAAATGACATAATTCAGCTTCAACAATGCTCCAGGCAACCACAAACTTTTTTGTTTTTCCATGTGACAATGTTTCCTCATACATATGAGCAGTACTCCAATGTGGAATGTTGATCATAAATAGACTCGACCCAATAGCATGTGTAAACAACAATAGACCGAGAGTTGTGATGGGAGAGAAATTAATCTTTGCTCCGTGTATCTTTTAAATTGTGGAGAATCTGGTGAGCGGCTTGGAGATTGCACTCATATGGGTCATGCATAAATTGACTTATTATACTAACTACGTAACGTATGTCGTTGTGAGTATGGGAGAGGTAGATCCCCACAAGAGGCTAGTAATGAGTCTTGTTGACAAGCACAACATTAGAAATGTCGGATAATTTTTCACCGCGATCCATAGGACTAGTCACAGGTTTGCACAAAAGAATATCACTCTCTGCCAAGAGATCAATCACATATTTGAGCTGAGACAGACAAATGCCTCGAGATGATCGAGTCACTTCCATGCCTAAAAAGTACAAAAGAAATTCCAAGTCCTTAATTTTAAAGGACGTAGCAAAAATGTTTTTCAAGGACGAAAATGTTGGGAGATCGTTACTTGTAAGAACAATATCGTCAACATAGACAATAAGAATAATTATCCGACCATTAGAAAAATGTCAGAAGAAGAGTGTAATCAGATTGAGCCTAAGTAAAACCATGGCCCACGACCAACTTTGTGAACTTGCCGAACCAGGCCCTTGAGGACTGCCTTAGCCCATAGAGGGACTTTTGCAGCCCGCATACTTGCCCTCTAGAGGTAGTAGAGTCGAAGCCAGGAGGGAGAGAAATACACCTCTACTGTAAGCTCTCCAATTAAGAACACATTCTTGATATTTAGTTGAAATAAAGATCAATCCAGATTCACCGCAAGGGACAACAGTACCCGAATAGTGTTAACTTAGCCACTGGAGCAAATGTCACCCCATAGTCTTCATCTTTGTAGGTATGTGAGTACCCTTTTGTGACCAATCGTGTCTTGTTGCGTTCAAAGGATCCATATGAGTTGAACTTGGTGTTGAAAATCCATCAGCACCCCATAGTTTTCTTACCCAGAGGAAGAATAACGACAACCTATGTATAGTTCCAAAGGAGGGCATTAATCTCCTTCATTATTGTTGTTTTCCAGACTGAAACATCAAGAGCAACATCAATCATAGTTAGTATCTGATGGTTCATCAAGATAGTAGCAAATACTTTGTAAGTCGACGATAAACTGAGGAAAGAGACATATTTTGCCATAGAAAAGAGGGAGCATGTCTGATTGCGTACCATACCTCCTCATTCAAAGGAGGGTTCGCGTTGGGGATGTCATCCGGAGTGGAGTCAAGGTTCTGTAAGGAGATAGCAAACTCCAGAGTAAGAGCATCAAACACGGATAGTGGGAGAAACAAGGGACTCCTTAATGATAGGAACAATGGGGGAAAATCCATAGAAGTAGGATAAGGGACAATGTCTAAGAGCTCAAGCTCCACATCATTTAAGGTTAAGCTAGAAAAAATAGAAAAGACCTTCAAAGAAGAAGAAATTAGCACTCACATAGATTTTATTTGTGATAGGATCAAGGCACTGATATTCCTTTTGAGTAGCAAAGTACCTAAGGAAGATACATTTTATAAGTCTGGGGTCAAGTTTACTCCGAGTGGGGGCAATGTTCCGAACAAAGATTATGCACACAAAAATCTTGGGATCTAATGTGGAGAAGACCCGACTGGCAGGGAAGCTTGACATCAGGACAGCTAAAGGGTTCGAAACTTATGAATTTTAGATGGAACTATTTATGACTAGGTGGCAGTAAGAAATAAATAGTTTCAAAAATATTTCGAGACATTGGATTGAAACATAATGAAAAAAACAACGTGGAGGTGAAGGTTTTTCCTCTCAGTTATCCCATTTTGTTCAGAAGTTTTTGCATGTGAGCTATGACAAAGAATGCCCTTACCAAGAATTCACTCAAAATAGAGTTGAAAAACTCACGGTCATTGTCAGTCCAAAAGACCTGATTGGAGTTTTGAATTGAGTTAAGATGAATGTGTATAAGTTTTGAAACATGACAACTACCTCTGATTTATCTTTTAAAATGTAGACCTGAGTCATACTAGTGCGGTCATCAATCCTGAGTCATCCTAATGCGGTCATCAATCAAAGTCAGAAACCATCGTTTATTGTTGTAGCTGGGAGTATGAGAGCCCCCCCCCCATGTCACTGTGAATAAGAGAGAAAGGAGCAGAAGGTGTGTAAATATGCGGTAGGTAGTGGACCCGATGAAGCTTGGTTAATTAATACGTCTCACAATTGAAATTCAAAAAACTTATATTAGAGAATATTAAAAGAAACAATTTTTTAAAATATTGAAAACTAAGATGACTCAAACAACAATGCAATAACATAATGAGACATTCAATAACTCTAGATAAACTATAACTCTTGAGCTGAGTGTTCTCATTCTCTGTGTTTCTCTTGAAAGTAGTAGAGTCCAGCTAACCTCTTAGTAGTTCTAATTGTCCTTCCAACCATCATAAGAGAAATTAGCAACTAAAAGTTTATCATTTATCCACTTACTGACAGATAACAGATTACTTGCAACAGAGTAACATGTAAAACAGACTTCAGAGTGTCCACTTGCTGACAGATAACAGATTACTTGAAACAGAGTAACGTATAAAACAGACTTCAGAGTTAGACCGATTGTTAGTAAAACCACGCATTTACCAGCAATGGAACTATAGGAGCCATTGACAATTCTGACAGTATCATTCTCAGAGCACGAATAACAAATGGAGAAAGCTTGCGAGCACTCAGTCCTGTGATCCATGACACCTTCATTAATAATTCACAAACTAAAGCAGGAAAGAAACGTGAGAGCCATAGGAAGAGAACCTTGTCTGACATGGAAGGTCGATGGACTCGCAGAGAATTGATTTGCTCCACGTAGCTTGATCAATTGTTCCATCTGATTTTTCAAAGATTCGGAGGATTTCGGGTTGTTCCAAGTAAGGGTCGATTGAACCGTAGTAGACTCGGATGTTGCTGTGAGACTCTTGATAGCAGAGGATTTGGTCGAAGATTCATATATCGGTTTACCGTAAAATTTACAATACTTGCCCCGACTGTGATTGGGTTTGTGAAAGTAATCACAAGCGGGGCAACCGTCCCGAGGTGGCATGTTGTGGAGAAAGTTGTTGTCATTTAGTTTATGAGTCGTGATCAAGAAGTTCATGTTGGTTTCTATCCTCCGGTCTGTAGAGGGATTGAGGTCGGTAACGATCCTCCGGTAGACTCATGCACACCATCAATAAGAGTTTTAATGGTGGAGAAATCTATCATACTTCCAATAGAGCTAAAGGTATGTTGGGTTACTGAGACTGAAAAAAACTTGTGGAACCAACAGCATGGTAGATCATGTATGAAGGAGAAACAGTCGATAAACTGTTGTGCTGGGAGGCCTCACGATAGAAAAAAAGGAAATCCAACAGGAAATCTTCTAGGGAGATAGACTAGAGTTGTTGGGCTTAGCGGCAGATAAGTCTTTGTAAGCAGGAAGGATCTGCAAGAAAAACACAGGTCCGACTGGAAGGATTAGAGGCAGGAAGGAACGGTGGCTGGAAGATCAGCACCGAAAAGCGATAGAAGAAGACCTGCTGGTGGTCGATGCAAGGGTGAAACCTCTAGGGTTTAGAGCCATGACTCTGTTGTCGTGATGAATTTGTAACTAAAGCAGCATAATTTTATTGATAGAAGACGGGGTATTTAAA